TCTGAACAAATTTAATTTCAATATTAAACATAAGCAACTTAACGGGCAAAAGAAAATTAACTATTCCTTTTCAATGAATACATTAATGAAGCGGTAAGAGATTTCCAAAGATGAATGTGTAACAAAGACAATGTAACAGCATATAATATAGCTGTCCCAAGCAGAATAGATGGCCCTACCAGCTATGTGAATAATAGAACTTACAGCTCAGAAACAGGCAATTCAGCCCTATTGGTCTATGTTGATGTTTATGAACTACAAACATCATTCCCCCACCCCCAAACTCCCACATACACACAAAACTGCCTACATTATCTTATCAACTTATGCTTTCTCTCTTCTTCACGTCTTTGCTATTTGCCTTAACTATGTCTCGTCATATGAAGTTCCATAATGGCTCAGTGGATAGATTCTATACCAATTCAGTTTGGGTCTTCAGAGCAGCTGAAGGTGAATGAGAACTCTATCTCTTGTGAGCTATTATTAAATGTCAGTTTAAAACCAAATTCTTGTGAACATTTGAGTGGGGCACTCGTGGCAAGCTCACATCTATCTTTGGAAGGAACATTTACCAATAAAACCTCACGTTGCCCCTCTAAAAAACAAAAGCTTTCGCTCCTCCAGAGGATTGGTTTTCATCAGTTAAAACAACAAGTTTGTGCTGACATCTCAGACACAGTAATTTAGTCTATATTTATTCTGAGGGAGTGAATGTTTTTTTTAAAAACTGCTCAGGAAAAAGGAGACACTCAGAGGTTTACGGACCTTTTAACATTTAAAAATAACACTGCCAAGTCACAGGCACCATTGGGAAGGGCTGCATAATTCACTTTTGTCAGCTTATTTACTGTGGGCTGAACTAAGAGGTAGTTTTGTATCTTAACCTTTTTGCATGGCTGTAGAATCTACATGCTCAGTTCTTTAAAACTGCACATAGTGACAAACTGATTTTACTAGATGGATTTCAACTGGATAGTTATTCAATGTGTGAGCAGAGCCATAGTTTACTGATTCGTGATTAAGAATTTTCCATTCATCCCTTCCCTCCTTTGAACCTTGAAGATTTTAACCCTCCTTACTCCAAGATCATATTGGCCAGTTGTTACCTTGGGAACCAGGATCTGATGGGAACCTCGGATCCTTTTTAGTCTGAGTATTGCTGTACACTGTGCTTAGCCGCAAGGAATCAAAGTGTCCAATTTTCAAAAGTAACTGAGTTACATTGAGGTGAACTCTCAAAACAATTCTGAACAGAGTGTCAGTTTGAGGGGTGTGGCATGGAAACAATGAAAAGTTTAAAATTGGTTGTGGGATAAGTAGAAATATTTTTCTTTACTCTCCCATTTCACTTGATACCACACCCAGTAGAAGGATTTCAGTAAAACAGATGGTGCTTTAGCATTCTCGGTCTGTAATTTTTGCAGACAAATCCAGTTCTTGGTAAATCACTTTGAACTGTTACTAGCCCCCAAAACGCTAAACTCAAGAAGAGTACAAATTGCACACATTACAAGTGATAACAGCTGGCTTACTTCATACATTAGTGGTTAGAACAGAACTTGTTTGCATAAAAAAAACCCTGCAGTTTTAAAGTAACACAAGTCAGTCTTTTTTTTTTAATATAACTGTAGACTAAATAACACATTATTCAAACATTTTATTGTTATTTGTGGCAATCTTTCCAGATTATACCATGGTCACGCAAACAATATTGGTGATAAAAAGGAACTTTACCAATATACAGCAAATAGGATAAAGGTAATAATCACTGAGGCCACTCAATTGTTCAGAAGCAAAAACAGAAATTGCTGGGAAGACTCAACAGGTCTAGCAGCATCTGTGTAGAGAAAACAGAGTTAACATTTTGGGTCCAGTGACTCAAAATCCTTCAGAATTGATTGTAACTAGGAAAAGTTTGATATATATGCTGAGGATGGGGTTGCGGGGGGATTGAAGGAGAGGAGGGGGAAAGAGGATAAAAGATTGGTGGAAATAGCATCCTGAGAGAGAACAACAGTTGGGCAGACAAAGGAATGGGTAAAGCTCAGCCTGGGAGAATCAATAGCTGCTAATGGGACCATTACTAGTTGACAATGGGTTGGTTGTGTAGTAGCTCATGTGATGACAAGGTTTGGTGTGTGGGGTTTGGGGTAAGGACGTGGGAGAAGCTGCTCAGGTCCTAAGATTATCAAAATTTGATATTGAGTCCTGAAGGCTGCATGGTGTCCAGGTGGAAATTGAGATGTTGTTCTTCCAGGTTCTGTCAAGCTTCACTGGAGCACTAGAGCAAGCCTGAAACAGAGATGCTGAACAGGGAACACTGATGTGTTGAAAGTGACAGGCAATGGAGGCTTAAGGTCATTTTTGCAGATAGAAAGTAGGCATTCTGTAAAGCACTTACCCAGTTTGCATTTTGTCTCCCAAGTGTAGACCAGACCACACGGAGTAGTGAATACAATTGTCCAGATTGAGTGAAGTGTAGGTAAATTGTTGCTTCTCTTGGAAGCTATGTCTGGGGTCTTGGATAGGTGAGGAGGGCAGAAGTAAATGGTGGTTCACTCTCTGCGATTGCAGGGGAAGGTGCAATGAGGCTTTGGGAGGTGTCGGGAGTGAAGGAGTGGACCAAGTTGTCCCAGAAGGCCTGACAAGGGAGGGTACTGTGTGGTCAGCAGTGGCGTCCTGCTGAAGGTGGTGGAAATAACAGCTAATGATCCCTCCCCCACCCATCTTCAGCATTTATGCCAACCTTTTCCTAGCTATAATCAGCTCTGAGGGACTACCAGACCAGAAATATTAACTCTACTTTCTCTACACAGACGCTGCCAGATCTTGAGTTTTCCCAGCAATTTGTATTTGTTTCAGATTTGCACCTCTTTGGTTTCTTTTCATTAAACTGTTTCTAGCTCTCTTGTTAAAAAAGTATTCAAATTTCTGCAATAATTTGGCTCTTAAAACACGTTTACTAGCTGTCAGTGCAAATACAGTCTTTTTCCAGGTTCAAATCCATGCTGCAATTATGAAAAGTTAAATCATTTCAACAGTTACTAACTGGGTAGTGTCATAAATGAAGATACCTGTATCTGGTAAATCTTTGCATTTACAGGGACACAAGCAGGAGGAGGCAATTCAGCCGGTCGATCCTGCTTCAAGCCAAGCCAAGTAGTATTTTAACATTGGAAAGTGTATCGTGCCCTTTCTCTTGCTCAAGTATCAGCATCAAGTGCTCCCAACTCAGGATGGGGAATAATTGAGGCCAAGTAATGCAGCCTTTAATCATCTCCCAACAATTGGGTTGAAAAAGCAGCAGGTTTAAGATTGTCTGACATTTCCACAACCATTAAAATTAATGAAGACATCAAACTCAAAATAAATAAGGTAACACAGCTTTGTTAGTATAGTGAAATGATATTTGTATTAGAACTCAGTTGCATCACGTAACCAACTCAAAAGAGACCTAACTAGCTATTTAAAACTTCTACAATGGATACTATTCAAATAAATTCACCAAAACTGAAAAAAGGGGATTAGAACAATTAGAAAATGGGGAGGAGAGTAGTTAGGTTTGGTTTCACCAGCACAGACTCAACAGGCTGAAGGGCCTTTTATGTCCTGTAGACTGTTTTGACTCAAACACATGATTAATTGTAGTATGCTAAAATACTGTGAAGGAACATAGATTTGAGTTAGTTTGATTGAATATAGGGCAGGGATATAAAAGTTTCATTGCAGCAACTAACTTTTATTTGTACATTTAAAATGCTTTGCAAATACAGCAGGGTGATTCATACAAGGAGCCACAAATAGAATAGATTTTGAGCCTTCAGTTGCAGAACTGCACTTAATGCTGCCAAATATGATTCAAGGGAGAATTAGGACTTGTGGCTCAGTGGCAGCATCCCTACCTCTGGGCCAGAAGACCTGGGTTCAGGTCCTACCTGCTCCAGGTGTGTGCCATCACATCTGAACAGGTTGATTAAAACGAGGAGGATTCCAAATCCTGGGGATGCAGAACAGACTTGTTGGGAAGATACGAGTACTTGGACTTGTTTTGTGGAGAGGTGAGAGAAATTGGGACTGTTGAATTTCAGAGCAGAGCAATTAAAAAAGGTGGATGCAGATAGATTATATTCCAAACAGACTTATATTTAAAGAGAAGTTTTGCAAGGAAATCAGTTTGAAAATGAATCATTGACCTGACATAATGGATTGGATTTTGCAACCACAAAATCTCCCCCTCCCCCACAATGTGCTGACACAATGTGATCATGTGAGCAATGAAATCACTGCACTGGTATCTGATGAGTGGCCATGGAAATCAGAAGCCTGCCATTCTGAAATAAATCAGTTTAACAAGCTCAATAGTTTGACTTTGCTGCCTGCAACACTCTCTGAACATCAGATAGGAAAAGCTTTGGAGTGCGTGATATCAGCTAACAGACTTATCTGAAGGTGGTAGAAAAAGCCCGCAACCTCGATTTCTTCCATCGGATGAAGGTTTATTTTCTGACGGTGGTAGAATCTGCATATTTTTACTTCTTGATTATTTTTTGAACGTTCCCTATGAACAAGGACAGATTCAGAGACTGGTGGGGCCTTTAAAATTTGTAGCCCTGGCCAAGTTCCTCTCCACAGCATAGCCCCTGCCACATGCCATCCTGTTCCAGACTGCAGAATCGGCACAAAGACCCTCCTGTGGGCTTTTCCACCAAGCAGTTACCAATTAGCAGAAGAAAAACTAATTCCTAGAACCAGTCAAGGGGGAAGGGAGCAAGCAGATTATTCACTTTGTGTCACCACCTTCATCCTGCCAGAAAACAAAATCCAGACCATTAACTGTTCATCTCCACAGATGCTATTCAACCTAGTTTTTACAGCATTGTCTGATTTATTTCAGATTTCCAGAATCTGCAGTGCTTTTCTTTACTTCATTATTAAGCCAAAACACCAGCTATTACCAGGTAGTGTAAACTGCAAAAATAAAAACACTGGCCAAACAACTACAGGTTAGAATTTTCCAGTTTTTATTGTACATTTGAGGCTAAATTTGTACAGAGAAATGCCCATCTTTAATACTTTTCACATGTACCACCTTTCCATGTGTATTATACACAATTATAACTACATACCAGACAACTCCTTCAGCACTCACTTTCACAACACATACTTGTTCCACGTTATGCTGCAATATTTTTTCTCCCATACACAATGCTATGGCTATTTAAGCCTTAGTCACTTATGCACCATCTCATATCATGTAACTCTAGCTAATCAGCTTTCCTTTCCTGAAATTTCATTAAATGCTCATTCTTCTCTACCTTCCTGCGACTTACTATTATCCATCAACATCTGTTTCTTTGGTAATTCTCAGTAGTCAGAAGCACAAAACACTTTACACACTTACATTAACAAAGATCTTGTGCAAGATCATACAATAGGTGAATGGTCAACACAATCACAGGAATGGCTCAGATTGAATTGCATAACACCTAGAAATTGACTTGACAAAATTTTTGCTGATCTTAAAAGTTGCATACAATATAAGTATTTTATGTCTGAATTGTTAAGTAATTTTTCCTTTAAGTATTACATTGGATCTCAAATTTCCCTGGTTAATTACAAAATAACAAAAACCTTAAACTACACAGAAATAATCTTAAATGCCTGCAAAGAATATGGATAACAGAAGGGAATGTATTATACAAAAATAAAAATTGGTAAGGCAGTATATGCCATTGACAAAACTGCAACAAACGAGGCTCTAATTCAATTATGCTGCAGTGAATAACCCAGTAATTTAAAAATTACTATTGATTTATTGTCACTTTGTAAAAAGATCAGAATAGTTCAGCAAAGCTGATTTCATTTAATAGCTGCCATAAAACAGAAAAACAAGATTAGCAATTTAATCCTGCTGCTACACCACAGTACAAACACTGTACAGGAGTATAAATAAAGTCCTTTCCTGAACCAGAAACATGCGTTCACACTAATGTTTCTGTTCTCTTTGTCATTTGTTCTTTTTGCTCAACTGTTTCAATGCTTTGTTTCAGTAAGGAATCACAATGCTCTACCATTTCTTCCTTCTCTAGGCTGTTTGGTTCAGAATCACTCGTGTCCATGTTAGAGCCTGTTTCTGATCCACTATCTGCCATTTCTGCAGCTTCGGAAAAGGTGGGTGACTGCACTTCTTGTATGAAGTCAGTTGGCTGGGGTGAGCTTTGCTCAGATTCTTCATTTAACTCAAAGAGCTCCTTGTGGTCTACTGGACAAGGTGATGTCTGGTAGACAGACATCGCGTTTCGTAGGCAATTCATCCACTGTTGTTTGTTGTAAATGTCATTGGCCTGGAGTGTATGCGAAGACTGCCCTTGCACTGAATGTTGAAAACGAACTTTGAAGATATTTTTAGCTGAAAATAAAATAATGATGAGAACATTTGTGGAAAAAGGCCAGTTTTCTTACTGAATATCATAGATATTATGTAAAGAAGATACTAAAGAATTTGTGAAGAAATCAGATATTCACGTCTACCTATTGAACAGTGTATGTTACAGACATTATAACAAAATTAACCCAAATGTGTTCATTTAATGAATTAGAAATTAACAGCAAGACATTAAATTTTTTTAAGAATCCCTACAGTGTGGAAAAAGGCCCTTCAGCTCAACAACTCCACACAGACCCTTGGAGCATCCCAGCCAGACCCATTCCCCTAGAACCCACCTAATCTACGCATCCCCGAAATGTCCGGGCAATTTAGCATGGCCAATCCACCTAGCCTGCACATCTTTGGACTATGGGAGGAAACCGGAGCACCCGGAGGAAATCCAGGCAGACATGGGGAGAATGTGCAAACTCCACACAGACAGTTGCTCGCGGGTGGAATCGAACCTGGGTCCCTGGTGTTATGAGGCAGCAGTGCTAACCACTGAGCCACCGTGCTGTCAAATTGTTTTGAGACAAACTGTTGAAATAATTGACTTTGTATTGATATTTTAATGTCAAAGCCAGTAAACAAAGAACTATCTTGAGATGCAGCTAATTGACATGTTGCTAAGTTACTTGCCCAAATTTTAGGCATTACACGAAGCACAAAGATTATCTTGCAGCTCTAAATCAGCAATTCGTGCATCTATGACACTCTGTTCCATTTAAGCTTGACTCACCTTTGTCAGAATTGCCAAAGGCTCCTCTGAAAGAACCTCCCATTTTGGTATCTCCATCTTGAAGATCTTCTAGTAGAAGATCTTGAACTGGAATTGGCTGACGGTATACTTGGTAACACTGGCGGTCATTACGGGACACTGGGCGAGTCAGGACTAGGATTTCTTGGAACAGGAAGACATACAGTTTCTGGGAAAATAAAATAGCAAAATTATTACACACCTTGAAAAGAGATCCTTCATAAGACATTTAATAAATAAAAATCACACTAGAAAGGTGATACACCTAGACACATTGATATCAGTTTCAGTTCAGTTACATAGCTATAAATATAATAGCAAGAATCAAATAAACTGACAAGTCAAACAGCAGTAAGAGGCAACTATTAAACTTACTGTTCCTCTATTGTTTCGCAGCTCTCCGTGGCAGAGCAGTGCTTTGCTGCTTTCAATTCGAGCGTCTTTCTGTCTATCATCCAGATAGTCCAGTTTGTCAATGTAGTACCGACAGTCAGACTCTCCTTTCCTCACATTGATGTCTGATAGGACTCCTTGAATAATGGCAATCTGGAAAGCAATATCCAAAGATCAGCAAACGCAGTAAACTGTACAAACAATTATCATAAACAAACAAAGCTAGAGAAAGTCAGTATGGCTGTATGACTCTTCAGAGCAGAAAGACGTTGGAAAATTTTAACTTACTTTTGACAGAGGCAGAAGAGCAACAAGGGGGCAGATGGTGTCAAGGTCCAAGGAAAAAGACAAGGGTTATTAAATGGAGGGGACACAAAAATGTAAATTGTAAAAAAAGAAGATGCATGGGACAGCAAGAAAACATGGAATTCAATAGAGACCAAAGGCTGAAAAAGGGGTCAAATGGAGAATTAGTTGCTCTTCAAGCTTACGTCATGCTTCATTTGACCATTACAGCAAGTCCAGGCATTTCTGACCAGAGTGGAAGAGTTCCACAAAGTCTGCGTTTGATCTTGTCAATGTAAAGAAGACTGCATTGCAAACAGTGAATGCAGTAAACTAGATTGAAAGAAGTATAATAAAACACTGCTTCACCTGCAGGGTATGTTTGGGGCCATGGACAGTGAGGAAGGAGGTGGCGAATAAGCAAGTGTCACACTTTCTGCAGTTGCATTTACTTAGTTTACTTTATTAGAGGAATTTAAAAAACTAAAAACTAAGTGAAAAAAAATATTCAACCTTATATTTAGTTTAAAGCTCTTATACTTGTCAATTACTCCTAGCATTTCCACATCATGAACTTGCAACCAACGTTCCATGTAAGCTGCATGGATGCACAGCACCCGAAACACACGGAGGCCTTGTGCAAAGTGACCCATGAAAGTCTCATACGAAGTGGCCCATTTAAGATACTGTGTAATTGTGCATGCACAAAAAAAACCCTCTACACTTAAGTAAATCACAGCTGCACACAGTAGAACAACAACGGTAAATATACATACAGAAATACTTGCAGGAAAAAAGCCACTGGAAAGTTAAAATCAGATTCTAGAATTTATATGCAGTGTACCAAATACAAAAGGAAGTGACCGAGTACCAGAAACTGCTGCAGAAACTCAGCAGGCCTGGTAGCATCTATGGAGAAAGAAATAGTTAACGTTTAGGTCCAGTGACCCTTCTTGAGAACGGAAGGATGGTCACTGGACTCAAAACATCAACTTGGCTTTGACTCCACAGATGCTGCTGGGTTTTTCCAGCAGTTTCCGTTTTTGTTTCAGATTTCCAGCTTCTGCAGTATTTCTTTTGTTTAGGTGATGGAATACCACATTATAAAATGTAATTATATTGTAGCAAGGGAAGGCAGACAAAAGATTCACCAATTGAAAACTCAAAAATAGGATTAATTTCCAACAGATGGAGGGCCTAACTGATTTTCTGAAAAAAGGTTTCAGGCAGTAAGTAAAGAAAATAAGGTAGAAATAAGAAATAATTCATTATAGAGGGTCAATGGAACATTCACAGGGGGATATTAAAAACAAGCAGCTAATATGTTCTTCAAAAGCAAGACAGATACATTTTTCATCCTATGTGTGTAATTTTAGTATTTTTAAAGGTCAACAGATCCTATAGTGCCATAATTTTAATAATCTGATCTACAAAATATAATAAAGCATAGTTTCAGTTTAAAGTAATTAATCCTCAACAAAATAGTTTTTATCCAGCATAAACACTTACTGCATCTTCCAGGCTTTTCTGATCCAAGTGATCAGTAGGTGTATGTCGCAAGATCTCCTTTAACAGTAGGGGGTACTTCACCAACCGGCTGCGAGGAATATCCAGGAAACTCCAAAGGTCCAGTTTCCTGCTGAAGGGTGACTCTAGACAACGCTGAAGGAAATCCTGCACTCTCTTGTCCTGCTTCTTTTGATCCAAGAGTGCTTTTGCTGCCAGTTGATTACTACAGTATTCCTTGTATTCATCAAGCCGTGGTAACTGGAAAAAAAAACAAACATGAACATTAGGGGTGATTTTGCAATGGATTGAAGAAATGAATTACTTTGTATTACATTTGAAGAGTGAAAAACTATTTAAAATCATAAGCTGTAATATTCTGGATAATTCAACTAGGGAAATCAATGAGGAAGAAGCAGCCATAGCTATTTGTAAGCTATTTAATGCATTGCAAAGTCTGCCACCCCCATAAAATTATACAGAAAAAGTTATTTTGATATGAAATTGAAGTGGAGGTCTTTCCTTTTAACTAAACCTGGGTTATTTTCAAATATATCCAGAATTACATGTTTAGACATAGTATTTACGGCAACTTGAATTCACTCTCATACCACCTGGTAACTGATTCCAAAAAAAAAGGAAAAAGGCCTTTAGCAATGGCTGCTTCCTCAGGACTATCCTGTATCATTAACCAAGGTCAGCATTTGTGACACAAGTACTAAATTGATTGGAGAACAGTACAAAAAAAAAGTTCCTTGTTAACCATCTGGGGGCAAAAGCTCCAATTTATATTGCTTAAAGTGCCCACATCAGGTAAATTTGATAATGGTGGTTATTAAAATCAACTGTAAAGCCTTTGTTTAATCCAGAAAAACAAAAGTCTTGCTTCTGATTAAAGCAACTTACCCAGCTAACAAGAATTTGACCAATTTGTTCCACTGTTCCATCTTGCTTTGTAGTTTTTGCAAGTTCAGTCAGCAGATCTGGAAGAAAACAAACGTATTCCATTGTCAGCAGCTTCAATCATAATCAATTGAAGATTTATAGAAAGAGCACAAGTAAAAGGAAATTCTGCATTATAGTTTGTTGATTACATGAATCTTAAGTGATTTGAAATTAATTACACAGTCAATACATCACAATTGTATTTAACATTATGAATAACTGAGGCAGTACAAGATTTGGTAGCAAGACAGTTAATTGTGAAATATGGTTGTGACTGTGGCATAACTTTATCAGCATACAAATTGATGCTCATTAAAAGATTTGACTTAAGACATGATATTCTATTCTATTAAGATCAACTCTGACATTGATTAATACTTCCTTCAAAGAAATATTCACCTTCATGCAAAGGGATGTAAGAATCAAGAGCTCCAAATATCTGTGTCAATTCTTCTTCGGTCATAATTGACAACTTCAGCATAGGATCATGATAAGCCTGAATACAACAGATTTGAGTGTTTATAATTATTTCTTAAGTAGGTTTTAAACTACAACAGCAGGTATGAATTCTAATGCTCATTCTGCTAGGTTGATCAATTTTAAAGAAGATAAAGACTGGCATTCTTAATAACCCAAAATTAGCACTGGTGCAGCTGATTTCAAGATGTTGCTACAATACAACAAAGCAGTTATGAAGTCTTCTTGGAGAAACAGTCGCGGTGTAGTGGTAATGTCACTGAACTAGTAATCCAGAAGGCCAAGCTAATGCTCTGGGCACAAAGGTTCTAAATCCACCATGGCTGTTGGTGGAATTTAAAATTCAATTAATAATTCTGGAATGGAAAACTCGCATCAGTAACTCGAACCAGGAAACCGTCTATTGTTTTAAAACCCCATTTGGCACGCTAATGTTCCTTAGAGAAGGAAATCTGAGTTCCTTACCCAGACTAACCTACGTGAGATTCCACATCCACAGCAACGTAGCTGATTCTTAACTGCCCTCAGACCACCAGTAAGCCAATCTGTTCAAAGGCAATTAGGAATGAGCAACAAATGTTGGTCTTGCAATTGACACCAACATCCCATGAAAGAATAAACAAGAAATTTACTGTTGAATTCATGTTAATGAACATTTTTATACAATCATTTCATTATATCTAAGCCAGTAAACCTTACACCAAATGGTCAGGATTTATACATTTATATAAAACAAGACTTCAGAAGTAACTCCGACAAGGATTACTTTAAAAAGTATTTAAATTACCAAAGACTATGGTATTTTTAGTTTTAAAGAAACAAGTATTGCATGACTTCACTAGAATACTGACCTTTCTTGCTAATTTTAGGTCTTCAATTAAATCCTGTTCCCCTCGAACCAGTTCAAATATAGCCTGGAAAACAAAAAGCAACTCCTGATGACATGTACTTGGCATGAAGCAAGTGCAAAGAATGGCATGTTATCATGGCCATCTTAAAGTAAAATTTAGTGGCCCAAGATTATTTCTCCCTTAAATTTAGCTATGCCCATTTTTATTGGATTTGAACAGTAAAAAAGCGTAAAGTAAACAATGTTCACTGCAGGTGCAGCTGGTTAAAATTTAACCTGCACTTGGAGTACAAGATTAAAGTGTGGAGACAGTTCTGAGAGTTTGATATCCAGTTAGACTTAACACCAAACGTAAGTTAACTGCCCTGAGAAGAACAAACAATTGTGGATTTTGGAACAAATAATAGCACTGGTAGGTCAAATTAAATAAGTGACAGATCTACATGGTTAAATCTAGTCCCTCTAATTCTTAAAATAATGCCAACATTATAGGAAAAGAATGAATACACTAACATTTCAGCCTTCTTCAAGGAGGTCCACAATGTAAAATATTTTTCTTCTGCCAGAAAGCATTTGTCTTCCAAACAGCTTTTAAGTTTTCTTGGTATGTTTTGCCCTTATGCATAAAGCACCCCAAAAAAAACACAAAAACTTTCTACTGCATGTATTTTATACCTCTTGCCGCTTAATTTCCTTCGAAGAAAAATTCTTCTTTGTACTCATATCTAGAGTCTCGGACCACAATTTGCTATTGCGCCTTTTAGGTGGAGTTGGGGCTGAGGTTTTGCTGCATAGCTTTTGAGAGCAACTTGGCGACTTGTTGTCACTGCGGAATGTGATGGATCTCTAGATAGAAAATCAGGACTGTTAGCATTCCAAAAACAAGGCAATAAAGCATTTAATTCAGATTTGAAGATAGCTTTAAAACACTACAACTTTTGTCTTGAAAGAAAGACATTTCTTTGTGGATGATTTACTCTAAAATTGTGTATCTATGGTTTCATGCTTGAGGAATCTAACAATAGCACCCAGAGATATAGAGAAGGCTCTGAAAAGCTGATGTGCATACTTGTGTGGACTAGTTCATTGTTATAGTTTCTGTGTCCTTCTTGTATGTATTGATTGCATTATTATATTTTCTAGGTAAGTCAATATTCAGAAGGTCCCTCCAAACCAACATGATTTACACAATAATCAAGATATTCTCCAAATCAAACCCATCAACAGACTTCTGTCTATGGCTCAACCACACTGCACTAGCCTGCTGATTCCTATGGCCTTATCAGGGTTAAATTACACCTGATCAGAGGTCAGCTTTTTGACTTTTGGCCAGTGAAACATGTCAAACTTCATTTGAGGTCTATACCTATATCCAAAAAAAAGTGTACAAAGTTTGTTTTTATACAAATACAAATGAACTGAAAAAGTTATTTAGGATTTCGTGTACATACTATAAAGCTGAACAAAAACTCAAGAGACCAGGCTTTTAAACTGAACTGTAGTATAAAGTTTTATTAGCCTTAAGTGGCCAAAGCCAGGTTTGTACTGATAGAACTTTCCTCATCAATAAACACTTTATCCTTCCAAGAGGGAAGTCAAAAAGAGGAGAACAAGGTTGACAAAGATGATCTTACTGTTAACTAAACCGTCAACATTTCTCAAATAGTGCTTTCGACAGAACTGTTTTGGCATGATGTCAGAGAGCACTTATCTGCTGTTAACACGTGGAAGAAGAGGGTGTAGATTTTATTAAGTGCTTTATAGACCTAAATGTTTCAAAGTGCTCACAAAATCCTAAAAGCTATTCCAAAGTAAGGACTGTTAAGCAAAACTAAAAAAAAACAGACAAGAAATGTTACCTGTAATGTTTGACCAAAGCGTCTGACTGCACCATTTTTTGATGGGGATATTAAATTTGCCAGAGATGATACACGTGACAAGGGCCGAACCCGCTTGTTGCTTGGTTCCTGGAAGAGAACAAAAAGTACAGTTTGTGAACATCATGATTTTGGGGAGCCCCAAAGAATTTTGACTACATCAGATCAGCCGTAAGGAAGGTGTCTGTTCGCACACCTAATAAACAAGCACTTTCAATGTTTTCAAGGCAGACAAAAGCAGTGTTTTGTTATTGACCTAGTCAAACTTGGCCAAATTCTACTCAAGGCAGGAACAGTGACTGTTTTTAAATGAGGGGCAAGAGGCAAAGAAAAGTAGTCTTTTAGTGAATAAAAATTTTGCTGCGTCAAATTGAGGAGAATGCCCTAACCTTGCATTAACATACAGCCCTAGGTCTCTTACAGCATGAACTAGATGTAAGAAAAACGGTCACCTGTTGCCATTAGCCTGCCTTACAACCCAGCCCCAAAAGAAGTATCCTGCATGTAACCTGGAACAGCTCAATAGGAATAGAGATGTGAGAAAGTACACCCTTACAACGAAGGAAAAAAAAAAGTTAGTGTTTATAAGTGAAAAGTTAGCTCAGAATGAAATCCATCCTCATATAAGAATTCTAACTTAATCTAAAGCTTTAATAACAAACTTTAAAAGACCCACGAAGACATTCTAACATCAAGTAAATCCGTATTAACTGAGAGTTTCAATAACCGAAAGTTGTGCTTCAGGGTCAGCAGTTTAGATGAACAAACTGTACAGTTGTATAGAAATGTATAAAATTGCTAACTATACAAAATCTGACAACACATCAGTATTCTTACAGACAGGTTAATTTATGTGATAATCAAGCATACACCTCTTTTCAAGCTTTTCGTCTGCAAGTTTAAGGCTATCGAGTCATTCCTGTGGATAACCACCAACACTGGATAATTGTTATTAAGTGAGTGGCATTTTAAATCCAAAAGTACAGAATAACAGCAGCTTGGACATTAGATTGACACATGTCCAACCTGTTTTTTTGTTGTAATGCCTATAAACTCAATCAAGAACAGACTTTTTTCCCCACCTCTCCTTGGCCCTCATTTGAGCTTTGAAAGGAAATTTTTACTACAAGTATTTAATTTTCAGTAATGGATCATGTTTAATTGGAAACAAAGTATGTCCCTCAGTTTGTTTACTTATTCACTCCTTTTATACAGTTAAACATTAGCAACTCATGATAACCACTACCTGAAGGGCTTTTAAAATGCTTTACGGTATGTTGGTGCGACCAATGTCTTAGTGTGGGTATCAAGCAGCCGAAGGTAATCTTAAGAATACCTTGCCCAGCCACTAGCTAAGATAATTCCAATATGTTCAGTTTGAAGCTTGCCATTGATGCAGGAGATGAGTGTTGGGAGCTGCCAGCATTAGTACACAAATCAAAACTAACAGAAAAGGCTAGGGGGAAATCAGGAAATTGAGACTGGCAGTATCAAAAGCAAGAGAAATACAGAAAGAAGAAATGGAGCAATTTCAACTTATAAACAGGATCTCATCTTTTAAGAAGACTACTACGGTATTGTCTTAATTCAGCTTCTAGTGTCTCCCATCCATTGGTTAGCTCTCACGGTACATGACATTGGAGAAAATTGATTCAATCCAATACACAGACCTGATTTTACCTGGATCTGGAGGAGTTTCACACCAGTTGATTAAAAAAAAAACATAGACCAGTTCCTGACTTCTGGAATTCAAATAAGATACAGAAGCTCAAAAACTGTGGAAAAAAGGTGCACGTTTGAGGCATGGGCAAGGTTTTTCCAGGTAGCATTTCTTGCATGTAATGATTGCATTAATTGCATGCTAGTGAATTGAGAGTTGGCATGAATTCAGTATTTTGTTCAAGCTAAAAGATAAACACAAGGAGAAAGCATGCCTGAAGTCAAGTGATCAGTAGGTCCCTTCATGTAGCACATGTTCCAACAGGAATACTGAAACAGCAACAGAACAGCATGTTACTAGATGTGAATGGGCAAGTTACAAAAGGCAAAAGTTCAGTAGTGTCCTTTACAATGCTGACCTACTCATCTTCATTCCTAAAATAAGATCTGTTAGGTCAGCAATCCATGGTTGGACAGGTTTAGCAGGTACCTACTCTAATAGTAAAGTTGCAAGTAGAAACTCAAACGATAACGCAAGAAAATCCATGTTTCCAATGGCAGGACAATGGTAATGTCTGTTCTGTGGATGGCAAACAATTGTCACAGACAGCAACAGAATAACTACAGAACAGCTGATTAGCATCAAATTAGATTGATGTCAATCTGGCACTCCTTCACTTCCTGTCAGTCATCACTGACACTAATGGGCACAAAGGCACTTCACACGACAGCTCAATGTTCTGCTGTATCGTTCTATTGAAGTGCAATACTGGATGCCAAAACAAAAACAAAAGTAGTTACAGTACCTGTATCCAGTAAAGCCTCCTAGTATGCAGATTAGCCCTCTAAGGCACTGCCCAATGTAGCTATTCTGCTGATGGAAGACAATGCCCCCTTAGTTAGCAGTATTGCATCCAGAATTAACCCAATGAAGATTCATATCAATTCTGAATTACTGCACTGTAATACAGGAGAAGAAAACCTAAAGGAAACAGATGATATGGAAAGGCAAGAAAAATCAGGTATACAAAATTATGAGGCATTAATATAGTAGATCATAAGAATCTCCTCCCCATAGCAGACACATCTAAGACCACAGAGCATAAGTTTAAGATGAGGGACAAGTGGATTAGAGGAGATGCAAGAATTTTTTTTTTCACCCAGAGATGATAGATACACAGATTGTGTTGTCTGAGCGTGCTGGAAGCAGGTACTCTTGCAACATTTAAGAAGCATCTCAATGATTACTTAAAATGCCAGAGCATAAGAGGGTATAGATCAAGTGCAACTAAATGGGATTAGTGTAGTTTGGTGTTTGTTGTTTGGCATAGACATGGTGGGCCAAAGGGTCTTTTTCTATGCTGTATGGCTATGACTCTAAAATGCCGTCAATAACAGTTTGTTCAAGTTAGATCAAAATTTAAAGTGAGGTCAATCAATCAACCGTCTACTGTCAAAAAATTTAGACCTTTTCTTTTAGGTACGGATGTTGGAATCAGGTTTGGAGCAGAGAAAAAGGCCCTTCAACCTAACAGGTCTGCAGTCAAAAAGCAACCACTGTACGTCTTAGAACAGTATGCCACAAGGACAGGCCCGCTGGCCCAACATGTCTGTGCTTACCACAAAGGGAGAGAGAGTGTGGAACATGGTGGACAGCATGCCAATCAACAGACTGCTGCGTCCTTTATGGTGTCGAGCTTTCTTATTCATCACAGACTTCCTCGCCTGTGACTTGCTCTTGTAATGTTAGTATTTAGATGGCTAGGCCAGTTCAGTGTCTGGTCACATGGTAGTCCCCAGGATATTGCACGTGGAGGATTCAGTGGTGTGCGTGCATGTGTATGTGATGTTTACAATCTCTCATGGGAGATCTTCATTGCCTGGCACTTGTGGTGTGAATTCTATTTGCCTCTTATCAGCTAGACCTGGGTTTGTCTAGGTCTTGTTGCTCATGGACACAGGTTGCTTCAGTATCAGCGTCATCATGAATGGTACTTCTAATCCCATTCTCCAGCACCTGGGCACTTCTACCATTTTCTCCATTGTCTTTAGTTTGATTAACTGCACCTGTACAATAAACTTCAGTATTTTTGCTGCTTACTTTTCATAACCTTTGCCTTCATCACTGAATGCAAAGAAAATACATTGCTCAATAGATATGTGCTCTGCCCATACTTGCCAGGCACACCTGTACAAATTGAGTTGCATCTTAGATAAGCAGCTAGAATACATTCACGCAGCTTTGTTTTTAATTGAACGTTGCTTGAAATCATTTCCCTTAGGGCAGAGAAGTCAGACAGTGATTTTAGCTCTTCTGCAAGCCTACTTTGCATGTAGAAATGGAAAGCTTGCAACTTTGTTTGAAAAAAGTCTCCGCACGTATAATCACTGTCCTCTCCCCGGTTGACCTGAAGCTGAGACAGAATGAGCCTGTGGCTATGCTACTGGGCATCTTGTGCCCCTTCCCAAAATAACTGGCAGGCTTTCAAATAATGCTGTAGTAGCCTGACTGTCAATAAGAATGATCAACAGTTCAGATTTTCTGGTTGAAACTTAAGTTCACACTTAAAACTATTTTCTGCTAACATCACAATTCCCTAAATCTGGATACAAGACTAAATGGGCATCTAGCAAGTTTAGAAATCAAGGAATTCCTCCTGTACTTGTAATAAATGTGTCTTCCTACTGCATTGACTAATTTCTATATTCTGGTTCTGAGTCAACACTCAGCTAGTCTCAAGCACACTTCCCAATTCCTTTCATGCAGCTAAACCTGAAAAAAAAACATGTTTGAAAATACCTCTTCCTCATTGAGATGGTTTTGAGTTATGCTGGCTGACATGGGTCATTCCTTAAAAATGACCATCTTTCACACACTTCCTTAAAACTCAGACATTTTTAGATTCAACTTTATCGTAACGTTTTTAAGGAGATGCAGTTCTTTAAAGCAAATTCTCAATATCCAGTGCCACGTGCAGTGAGATCTTGTTTGGTATATTCAATTTTTAACACTGATAGATAAGAAGAGAGAGTGTTAGATCGTAAACTGTAGGATCTTTCACAAGGGAGACTTTTAAAGTTTTTGTTGTGTAAATTCAAGTGTTAAACAGCTGCAGCCTCTTATTGTAGGCACTAAGTTGACACCAAGCTATGGATGGATGCTATAGATAACCCAAGGTTATTTGATCCTTGGGAGTGACACTTATTTGACATACGAATATTTGACTACATACAAGGGAACAATTTGATCTATACTTGTCGTTATTATATAGGCCCACACTACTCCACATTCAGGAGTTTTTTTTAAAAAAAGGTTTCTTGTTAAAGAGCAAAAGAAGTATAAACTGTTAGATTGCACAACTTTAATGGAAATAGACTTTGGACTGTTAACAATCCCTAATCACCATATTTCAAAAATACCTACATTTGACTTTTGGGGATTTTTG